ACAATTGTCGTTCTCATTGTTCCATCTCGAACAACGTTCCTTGGCGTTGTTCCCCAGGAACAATCGTTCTTGGCATTGTTCCTGTTTTCCCTAATCCTCATTGGTTCCTTCTGCCTCGTAATGATTGGGTACGGGCGCCGCCCGTCGACCATGCAGGTCGGCCCCCACCGGCTTCTGCAGGTTAGTTCATGACAGTAAGCTGGTCCATAGCAGCCAACATTGAAGTCGGGGAGCTATTTTGATGGTTGGCAATACGAGTCTTGATAAGCGTTGACTATGACTCGGCTTCTCAAGGGTTGTATAGTGTCTGGAAGACCCAAGATTATATAGTGCCCGGCTGTGAGGTTGGGGGTGTTAGTATACGAAGCTTGATATCTAGCTTCGAAAGCACCCTCTCTAGATCGTATGGCACAAGGCCAGCCCCTGCAAAACCGCCCTGTATATTCCCCTTGGTTATAGAGGCAAAGAAGGCCGTGTGAAAGGCATAAAGAAACTCGAGCTTGCTTATATGGTTGATATACGCGCGCACTAAGTCCTTGATCTGGCGACCGTACGCCTGCTTCAACGGCCTAAAGCAGCCAACATCAAGTGGCTAGAGGAGGTGGGAGGAATGTGGAGGTATGCAGAGCGTGATAATATTGTTCTACTGGTAGTAGAGCTCGAACTTGGTCGAGTGCTGGCTTTCGTAGCCATCGAGGATCAACAACCGGTATTTACCCTTTGTCCGAGGTACTATATGGTAGTCGAAGTGCTTGATCCAATCTAGGCCTACCGCATTAGTAGTCCAGCCATTCTCGGTGGTTGCGATACACCAGTCGGCCGGGAGGTTACACTCTTGATACCAGTTGGTAAGGTGGTACTGCGCCGCTAAGATAATGAACGGAGGGATAGCCCAGCCAAGGGCATTGACGCCTTGGATCACCATCGCCCATTTGCGGTTGCCAGGCTAGGCTAGCTTCGCCTTGCTACGGCCATCCGAGGTTGTAACCACCATACCCGGGAAGATAATGCCCATTATAAACCCAGTCTTATCAAAGTTGTAGATATCATCATCTACAATGCCATACTTGGCCTTAACATTCCGTACAAGGGCAAACCATTCGCCAATAACCTTCGGATCCTCGCACTTGGCCCTCTGGTAGTCGTATCTATACGTATAACGCGTCCGGAGCTCTGGCTAGCGTTTGACAAAGTTATACACCCAGAACTTACCGACAGGGGGCGCGTCACGTACGCGTAGCAGTTGGTTGGCCATATCTTCTATACCACGCAGTCTCGGCGGAAAAGCTCGCTTAGATAGCTCAGTTATATACTGAACAAGAGCCTTCTCTTCGGAATCGGTGAGCCGGCGCGAGTTGGGCGTAGTATCGCGTCGTGCAGGTCGGCCAGCGCGCCGGTCATAGAGAGTTGTAACTGGCACGTTATAGAGCTTGGCTATGCCTCGGAGGCTTAGTTCCTTGTCGTTTTGAAGAGCTTTAAGGGCTAAAATTACCCTGGCTTCCTTTGAAGTAGAAGACATGTTAGGTTGTAGAAAAACTAATGTTTAGGTGGAGGGAAGACGCGTTGTGCCAAGAAGTGTTCGACTCGCTTATATGTTCGGCTCGCTTATAATGCACGTTATCGAATCTACACCGCCGCCTTAACTAATAGCATCTTCCCTCTAACAAACCCCTTAGCTGTATAATACTAGCAGCTTCGCCAATTCATCCGAACACCACGGATCATAGGTAAGCGCTACTTTTAGGAGAGGCTTAATATAGTCGAGGTTAGAGTCATTAGACTCTTAGCAGACCTCGAGTCATAAAAGATCGCTCTAAGAGTGCTATAGCCAGCCCCCGTAGGTAGTAGACGCGCGGCAGCAAGGTTCTACACCGCTAATAAGAAGGAAAGCGCGAGTTTCCAAAGATCTATATAATAGTCAAAGGAGGATATACAACAAAGGCAGCTAGCCAGACCTTCGTCGTCGAGTTAATCAAGCGTGTCTAGCGTGTAGGGTATACTCTAGCTATAGCAGATCGATCTATACAAAGCTCGAAAGCGCTCATGGCCGTTCCCGATCGGATTTTGCTTGATGATCTCCGATCGCGATTGGTCTGCTATTACGCTCAGCATACACTTCTAATTTGAAGTGGATAGAAGCGTGTTTTGTATCTGTTCGCTGGCAGTTGAGCCAATCGACCCTAGCCATTAGCCGTTGCCGTCATTAGGCAGCAATCGGTCGGCCAAGGCACGTGAAGACCATGTTCAAGATGATAGATGATGGCCAAGGCACAACCCATGCACTAGCGACGAGCGAAACCCTGGATCTACCTGAGAGGAAAGCGCCGGACCCAAAGGAGTAGTCACCAGACATGAAGGCAGTCCGGGCAACGATCAAATTCGCAATGGCAACGGAAGACTGGAGCTGGACAAGGAGCAGAGACCGGAACAGTCATAGTAGAAGAACTCGACCTACAACACATCACCTTGTAGCCTCAACTAGCAGACCCCGCTTTATCTGCTGAGGATACGACCTTCACTCAAGCTCACTGCCTTGCTACCCACATACCCAAAGTGATCGGTATAATTACCAATTCGCCAGGGGGTAACCGCCGACGCCGTGCGGAATAGATCGGGCCGTTGGCGATCACGCCCGCTGCTCGGTGGTGGCGCGCCGGTAGCGGTATAGATGAATTGTTTGAGGTTGCTATAGGCCAAGTAATCGCTGGTGGACGGCGAGAATAGGCAGCCCATGCAACTGGGATCGCGAAGACTAGATCGACGTGATGGAGTGCCGAGTATGTCCAGCCCTGTGCCTGCACGTAGCGGTCGGCGACGAATAGTCAGTCTAGGGAAGGGCTCACCCTCCTAGGCCACCAAGGTCGGCAGGTCGCCCGCCGTTGCGGCCGTCGGGTTGGGCTGGTCGAAGGCGGTCAGCACTTCTGCCTCGACGGGGTTGCCCTATAAAAGAAGGTAGGGCCGTTCTCGTTGTGAATTCACCCCGTATACCCAAGTGGCAACTCAGCTACTACGCCTTGCAACTTGCCAAGTCATATAGTATAGGGCCGCAAACGCGTTTAGTTAGCTAAGAATAATAAGTTATATAACGCATTGGTGGCATGTGTAGTTACCAAGGCGATGTTAGGAACATAACGTGGAAATATTTAGAAAACGGAGTTAGGAAACGGAGTTAGGAAACGGAATAATAAAACCTAAGCAAGTACGCGTTCTCTACCGTTTAATCCCTAGAATACATTTTAGCACGAGGCTCAAACTCTGCTAAGTTAGCATTTTAGACCAGAAAAATATAAACGACCAGGTCTAGATTTGCATTCTCGCCCTCCCTATAAGGACGACGCTGACTTCATTGAACAGGTTGATTAAGCTGTGGCAGCTGCTGTGTGCCCGCTTGGCAGCTCTCAGGAAATTCACTCTTGTACTGTTGCAGGGCGACGCGGGAACTTTCCGGAATCAGGGATAGCGCGGTGCTATATGGCCGTGGCGATGTGCGGTCTAGCCCTTCCCTAATAATATCTATACCGGAAGTCCGATCTAGCTATAGGTACCGATTTATGACGTTCGGGTGACGATTATATCACGCGCTTCACATAGTTATGTCGTAATGATTTCCACATAATTAGTCTTGAACACAACCGAGAGCGTCGGTCTTAGGACCGCTCTTAGACGTCCCCAAGGAAGATGCTTGATCTAAATAGAAGGTGCTGCACCAGTGACTCCACGGTGAATTGGCAATGATCTAGAAAACTCTATAACATATGTTATAAGCGAGTGAGCCATATAAGCGAGTGAGCCACGTAGGTACTTTTTTGCTTTAGACATGCGAGGAGGGTACCGAGAAATTGTTAGTGCACCTTAACAATTTCTTTAACGCCATTAGCATGCATTAGCATGCAGCCCTCACCAAAATGTAGTAGAGTGGCTCACTCGCTTGTATGGCTCACTCTCTTATAATCAACGTTATCAGAAGTTCGATCTAGCTATAGATACCGATCTATGACGTTCGCGTGGCGAATATATCACGCGCATGCGTGAGCCATGGCGGAGCTAATACATCATGACAGAGAGAACATAGAAACTGTTCTTTTCTACCCACAACAAAGTCCGACGCAGGAGGTCGGTTGGGTTGGCGTAGAGAACAACAGCTAGTCAGATATATAAGTTCCCCAACTCCCTCCTATCTCGAATTGAAGAGTCGGCAGGATATCTATCAACAGCCGCATTCAATCAAGCAAAGCCTAGGATACAAACCAACTCCTCACTACAGTATGTACTGACGCCCAAAGCAACCTGGAGATAGGGGGAAATCACAAATCACCCGATACCTCTCCTTTATATCTTATGATCTTTTATACTAACTAACAAAAGACTCTCTCAGCTTTCACTTAAAAAGTCAACCGAAGATGTGCCACTGGCAGCATACTTTTTGCCCTGCAGGTCACGTTGGCCCTGACGTGCTCCTTATAGCTTGCAACTATGCCCCCAACTGCTTTACGAGAACTTACGCAGCCAACCCCGGCCAATTCAATGGCCAGTGTGCGGAGTGCCTCTACGATCATGGGTCCGTTGGCCGGAGCGGCCGCAGGCACTAAATCCCGGACTACTGGGAAGAAGTAAAGGCGCCACTTATGTCCTACGGGAGAGGAAATGACGATGAAAAGAGAGCTGATGCCACTTCACTTTGGCCCTTCTCTTCATGAACCAAGAATCCCGAATCATTGAGTTGGCTGCTTGCGGATGGCAGAGGGTTTTCAAGACGGACTTGACAATGTCGGAGGGCATCCCTACACGGGAAGACGAGGATATCGATTATAGGGCTGACCTTCTACTCGCAGTCGGTAGAAATATAGCGGTGCTCACGCTGCCGGAAGACTAGGATGACTTTTCTGTGATGTCGCCATGATTGCCACTGAGCGGCTATAAACGGGTGATCACGGGTCTAGTATTACAGGTCTCAAACATTGCTTTTTTTTAACCAGACCACCAAATACTATGACCCAGACCCAACCCAACCAGATCACAGCAAACGCCAACCAGCCGGCGCCTACGCCATATGCTGCCCGTTACCATTGAACCTCCGGCATCTGGGACCGTGCCATCCTCTCCCACGACGCCTCGCGCAATCTCATCCTCTAAGCCGCGGTGAGCCTCGCGGCATAATACACCCACAGACGCGGGAGGAACGGAATACCCTGGACACGTACCTCCAAATCTCCTCAGAAAGCAGCCGCTCCTAAAATACTCCATACCTCCTCCCACCGTGCTCTGGCGCGAAGAAGCCTGCGTCCCCTCCTCTTGGCAACCATCCCAACGCTTTGCTCTGTCTTGCTCAGGAGAGAATCGCGCTCGATGCACCTGGCCAGTCCGGAGACAACACCCCGGGGGAAGGTGCGCCTGGCGAGCTCCATGCGCTGCAGGTTTATGATGCCGGTTAGGCGGATGTGGAAGAGGTTGGACAGGGCGTTGGAGTCGTTGCGCACGCCGAAGTCTTTTTGGGTGCTGTCTGACTCGAGGACGTGCTCGAGGGCGTGGCCTGTGGTTGGGCTGGGGGTGGAGAAGGCCTTGTCGTTGAGGACGTGGATATCGATGAGATAGGTTTGGTGAAGGGGAAGAAACGTAGATTGCACAATTGGAGATTGTGCCGTGTCGGGAGACGTTGACTTCCTCGAGGTCGATGTAGAGTGAGGGCGGTGTGGCGGGCTGCCCGTCGAGGATGACCACGAGGGCTTACAGGACCGTGGTGGAGTCGATGAAATCGGTGCCGAGAGCCTCCACGGCATCGTCCGCGCGTTCAAGCTTGCTGTGCTAGCCGACTTTCACGCTCGTCCGCGCCCGAGCCTGCAGCTTCTGCCTGGCGGAGAACAGACAGCGGAACTGATCGATACGGTACTGCCGAGGCTTGACGTGGAGAAGGCTCTCGGCGATCGGGTAGTGGTCGGGGCGATGAATGACGCGGATCCGGAGTCGGAGCGTTTGAAATCGCCGCGCTCGACTTTCACATTGGACACGACCATCCTTCTCCAGACGCTAGACCCCTATCAAGACGTCAACGAGCTCGTCACCACCGTTAAAAACTCTTGTCTGTCCGCACAGAGCGCAGAGAAAAATCCAGACGCGCTTAGGAGAGCTGCTGTCAACGCCGACCTAACCAACGACGACGCCTTTCCTAGTGTGGCTGCCACCTGACCTCAGATTATAGCGACTAGCATACGTCGGAGCCTGCTATATTTATTAATAATAAATGAGGCCCAACTAAAGAAAGTATATAGACGACACTACTAGCGGGATAAAAGTCCCTTAAGGTATCGCCCTTATACGAGGAACTATAACGTGCATTATAAGCGAGCCGAACATGTAAGCGAGTCGAACACTTCTTGGCACAACGCGTCTTCCCTCCACCTAAACATTAGTTTTTCTACAACCCAACATGTCTTCTACTTCAAAGGAAGCCAGGATAATTTTAGCCCTCAAAGCTCTTCAAAACGACAAGGAACTAAGCCTCCGAGCCGTAGCCAAGCTCTATAACGTGCCAGTTACGACTCTCTACGACCGGCGCGCTGGCCGACCTGCACGACGCGACACTACGCCCAACTCGCGCCGGCTCACCGATTCCGAAGAGAAGGCTCTTGTTCAGTATATAATTGAGCTATCTAAGCGAGCTTTTCCGCCGAGACTACGTGGTATAGAAGATATGGCCAACCAACTGCTATGCGTACGTGACGCGCCCCCTGTCGGCAAGCTCTAGGTGTATAACTTTGTCAAACGCCAGCTAGAGCTCCGGACGCGTTATACGTATAGATACGACTACCAGAGGGCCAAGTACGAGGATCCGAAGGTTATTGGCGAATGGTTTGCCCTTATACGGAATGTTAAGGCCAAGTACGGCATTATAGATGATGATATCTATAACTTCGATAAGTGTCACGAATTAAGCCAACAGGACAGCTGCAGGTGGGACAACCCGACGGGTGGCGCAGGGCGCACCCGAACCAATCATTTAGGACCAATGAGAAGGAGCTCTAAGGTGCTCTAGAGAGCAGACGAGAGCTTCAGGAGCTAAGCCAATCAACGCGAGGAAATGGAAGCTCTCGATGGAGTCAACAGAGCACCGAGCTCTAGGGAGCTCTATAGAGCACATGAGAGCACCCAAAGATAGCCAGTATATAGTCACTCGTTCTGGAGGACTCTGGGAGTTCTCCAGTGAGCAATACAAGCAATAGCCCACACCTACTGTGCAGACATTGCGGCAAGCATTGTTGTGAACCTTTTGGCTTCACCGAGACCTACAGTCCGACCAGCAGTTACCTTCGACCGGCGAACCCTTTCAGAGGCAGGACTGCCTGTGGTTTCGTCACAATAAGACTGGGTTTATAATAGGCATTATCTTCCCGGGTATGGTGGTTACAACCTCGGATGGCCGTAGTAAGGCGAAGCTAGCCTAGCCTAGCAACCGCGAATGGGCGACGGTGATCTAAGGTATCAATGCCCTTAGCTGGGCTATCCCTCCGTTTATCATCTTAGCGGCGCAGTACTACCTTACCAACTGGTATCAAGAGTGTAACCTCCCGGCCGACTGGCGTATCACAACCACCGAGAATGGCTGGACTACTAATGCGGTAGGCCTAGATGCACTTCGACTACCATATAGTACCTCAGACAAAGGGCAAATACCGGTTGTTGATCCTCGATGGCCACGAAAGCCACCACTCAACCGAGTTCGAGCTCTACTGCCAGCAGAATAATATTACCATACTCTGTATGCCTCTATATTCCTCCTACCTCCTCCAGCCACTTGATGTTAGCTGCTTGGGCCGTTGAAGCAGGTATACGGTCGCCAGATCGAGGACTTAATGCGCGCGTGTCACGAATTAAGCCAACAGGACAGCTGCAGGTGGGACAACCCGACGGGTGGCGCAGGGCGCACCCGAACCAATCGTTTAGGACCAATAAGAAGGAGCTCTAAGGTGCTCTAGAGAGCAGACGAGAGCTTAGGGAGCTAAGCCAATCAGCACGAAGGAATGCAAGCTCCCGATGGAGTCAATAGAGCACCAAGCTCTAGGGAGCTCTATAGAGCACATGAGAGCACCCAAAGATTGCCAGTATATAGTCACTCGTTCTGGAGGACTCTAGGAGTTCTCCAGTGAGCAATACAAGCAATAGCCCACACCTATTGTGCAGACATTGCGGCAAGCATTGTTGTGAACCTTTTGGCTTCACCGAGACCTACAGTCCGACCAGCAGTTACCTTCGACCGGCGAACCCTTTCAGAGGCAGGACTGCCTATGGTTTCGTCACAGCGCGTATATCAACCACGTCAGCAAGCTCGAGTTCCTTTGTACCTTTCACGCGGCCTTCTTTGCCTCTACCACCAAGAGGAATATCTAGGGCGGTTTTATAGGGGCTGGCCTTGTGCCGTACGATCTAGAGAGGGTGCTTTCGAAGCTAGATATCAAGCTTCGTACACCAACACCCCTAACCTCACGGCCAGGCACTATATAATCTTGGGTCTTCCAGACACTATAAAACCCTCGAGAAGCCAAGTCACAGTCAACGCTTATTAAGACTCGCATTGCCAACCATCAAAATAGCTCCCCGACTTCAATGTTGGCTACTGTAGACCAGCTTACCAAGGGTACGATGGCTATAATGCACCAGGTAGCCCTCCTTCAGGCAGAGGTGTCTTCGCTCCGCAAGGCTAACGAGGCGCTAAGCAAGCGCCGAAGAGCTAAAAAAATACGTGTGCGGCTTGGAAGATCACTTATTGTGCAGGAGGCACAGAAGGTAGTAAGCCAGGGGGCTATAGGTAGGGAGGCAATGCAAGAAATACAGCTGGATGGTAGTGGTGCTAGGGGGGGGTCGTACGAAGGTTCGGTGCTGTGGTATATGCGGCAAGCCTGGCCATAATGCCCGCACTTGCCAGGAGGGTGCAGAAGAGTCTGATTCATCTGTTTCTAATGTAATTGTAGTTGGTTTTTAGTGTTGTTGCATTGCAATTGAGGGTAGTTGTTATAGAGTAGTGGAGAGTGTTCGGCTCGCTTATATGTTCGGCTCGCATATAATGTACGTTATATTCTACTTCATTGTCCGAGGTAGAATATTTGCTATTGTAAGAAGTACTTGTCGAATCGAGTGTACTATCTAAGATTCGGCTGACTCGGAGACCAGACAGATAAAGTAGGAGAAGTGCTAGACTTGTCTAAGAGAGAAACTTAAGAGCCCCGTCAGTATTGACCCTAATAATATTCAGTTAGGTATAATGCTGATGAAACTTAGCTACAAGCTTGGTATCTATGATATAGGGTATAATAGTCTTAAGGGGCCTTTATTTTATGAATGTGATAGAGATGCAAAGGAGGTAGTTGATGTTTAGGATTCTTTCATACACTTAGTGGGAGAGGAGATTGGAAGGTTGGAATGAACGATATTTTTGTTGAGTGTATTTAATTAAAGCTACGCTGTTTTCTAAGCTACGCTATCCTAACAAAAAGCAGCTAGGCTAAACCACTTATCCATCTTGTTAATACTCCTATTACCTACTAGCTGTCACGAGCGCCGTCGTTCAAGGCTAGGGTCAAGCCTCTAGTGGTAAACTGACTGCATTGCAAGAATATTGAACTTGTAGGAGGAAAGAAATCCTCGAGACTGCAAGGTAGGCTTTAGATATAGGATGCGAGTAGGTCTAAGCTTGCATGCATGATGTAATGGAACATGCATAATGAATCATCACTTGGTATAATGAATCACCATGTATGCAAATGATGTCATCATCATAGTTGGTGCGTTCCACCGTTACACGTAACAGAGATCAAAGGGAGTGAGTAACATATGACGAATCTCTTGCCCCAATCCTCTAAGAGGGACAACTAAAGGTATTTTAACAATAGGGTAAAGTTCGGTAAAGCTAAAAGTTTATAATAATATAAGCCGCAATATTTATATAGTAAGATAGTAGCTACTCTACTGCTTGTATTACTCACTGAGGAAACTAGCTATCTGAATAAGTGATAGAATAGTAGAACTATATATAGCTTCCTCCCTAGGTACCTCTGTATGATGAAACCATAGGCAGTCCTGCCTCTGAAAGGGTTCGCCGGTCGAAGGTACTGCTGGTTGGACTGTAGGTCTCGGTGAAGCCAAGAGGTTCACAACACTGCAAGCCGCAATGTCTACACAGTAGGTGAAGGCTACTGCTTGTAATATTGCTCACTGAGGAAGCTAGCTATCTGAATGAGTGACAGAACGGTAGAACTATATACAGCTTCCTCCCCTAGGTATCCTTGTACCTAGATCTCTGGAACATTTGGAACAATTGTTGTTCTCATTGTTCCGTCTGGAACAACGTTCCTTGGCGTTGTTCCATTGGGAACAATTGTTCTTGGCATTGTTCCCAATCTCCCCAATCCTCATTGGTCCTTCCTGGCTCATAATGATTGGTCGCGGGCGCCGCCCGCCGGCCATGCAGGTCGGCCCCCATCGGCCTCTGCAGGTTAGTTCATGACACTCTGTACCTGGATTATCTACCTTATTGATGATCTAGATGAGCTGCTTATTGCGCTTACTACTGATCGTACTAAGCCTACTCATGATGCTAAGTAATGAGCCTTCCGCTTACGTTGCCAAGCAATAAGCCGCCCAGGGTCCGCACTACGTCCCGTCCCCGATTAGTGCCCTATGCCTGGCTGCAGCCCCGCCGGCCCACATATATAGTTGGTTCATGACAGAGGAAGAGAGTTCTCTAGAGAGGGTAAGTTAAGAAGTATATTAGGAGCAAGAAGAATAAGGAAAAGATAAGGGAGGAAGGGAGTTCTATAGTTGGGGGGGAGAAAAGGGAGGTAACGATAGCATAAGCGAGCCAGGCCAGCAAGGCCAGCAAGGCCAGCACATCGAGGCTCGGGGGTTGGGCGCAGTTGGTTCGCGTCCCCGAACCGGGAACGGGATCCTGGCGCCTAAAATACATCGCCATCGCGATTGCACGGGGTGCGAGCTGAGGGACCGGATGGGGTGTGAACCAAGTAGATTGGGCGACGCCTTCCGGCCTCCGTCGCCGGCGCCGTTTGGAGTTGTTACGGAGCCGGCCCCACTCCGGGAACGCGAACGGGTTTTTGGCCGGCAAAACTTCGGGCGAGGCGCTGGTCCGTCCTCGCTGAGTCATCAATTGCAGTTGTGCGAAAGGCAAGATTTTGCCTCTTGCGTTGTCAGCAGGTGGCTTGGAGGTTACGTTCTGCAAAGTCCTATCCTCAGCAGCTAAAGCGGAGTCTGCCAGTTGAGGCTGCGAGGTGGTATATTGTTGGTCGTGTTCTTCTACTGTGATTGATCCAGTCTCTCCTCTTCGTTAGCTCCAGTCTTCCTGTTGCCATTGCGAGTTTGATCGTTGCCCGGACTGCCTTTATATCTGGTGACTATTCCTTTGGGCCCGGCGCTTTTCTCCCAGGTAGATCGAGAGGCTCGCTTATCGCTCGTGCACGGGTTGTGACTCGGGCGACCAACTTGAACATGGTCTTCACGTGCCTTGGCCAAGCAAATGCTGACTAATGATTGCAACAGCTAACGGCTGGGGTGGGCTGGCTCAAACTGCCATCGAACAAACACGGAAGAAATACGCTTCCGCCCACTTCAATTGAGACGCGCCTGCTAAGCGCAATGGCAGACAACCAATTGCAATTAGAAATCATCGAGCAAAATCCGATCGGGAACGGCCTCGAGGGCTTTCGAACTTATTATATATCGGTCTGCAATAGTAAGAGCATTCCGTATACGCCAGACACGCTTGATCTGCTCGACGACGAAGGTCTGGCCAGCTGCCTCCGTTGTATATCCTCCTCTGACTGTTATATAGATCTCCGGAACCTCGCACTTGCCTTTTTATCAGCGGCGTAGAACCTTGCTGTCGCCCGTCTGCTGCTTGCGAGGGCTAGCCGTAGCACCCTTCAGAGCGACCTTCTGCGACTCGAGCTCTCCCTAGAGTCTGGCGACTCCGACCTCGACCGCATCAAGCCTCTCCTAAAAGCAGCACTCGCCTACGATTCAGACGATACGCTCGTCTAGAGCCGAGTCTACGATGCCGTCACTACCGTTACTGCCATCGTCGAATCCACCCCCCCCCCCCCTAACCGATAGCGTCTTCTCTCTAGCAAACCCCATAGCTATATAATACTGGCAGCTTCGCCAATTCGTCCGAATACTATAGATATGTGGATAGTGTCCTTAAGGAGGAGCTCGGCCCTATATATATCGACCTCTAGGACTTCCACAAGATGTATTTCGGCTCTGTATCAAACCTGGAGACCGTATGTGACGAAACCACAGGCAGTCCTGCCTCTGAAAGGGTTCGCCGGTCGAAGGTAACTGCTGGTCGGACTGTAGGTCTCGGTGAAGCCAAAGGGTTCACAACAATGCTTGTCGCAATGTCTGCACAATAGGTGTGGGCTATTGCTTGTATTGCTCACTGGAGAACTCCCAGAGTCCTCCAGAACGAGTGACTATATACTGGCTATCTTTGGGTGCTCTCATGTGCTCTATAGAGCTCCCTAGAGCTCGGTGCTCTGTTGACTCCATCGAGAGCTTCCATTTCCTCGCGTTGATTGGCTTAGCTCCTGAAGCTCTCGTCTGCTCTCTAGAGCACCTTAGAGCTCCTTCTCATTGGTCCTAAATGATTGGTTCGGGTGCGCCCTGCGCCACCCGTCGGGTTGTCCCACCTGCAGCTGTCCTGTTGGCTTAATTCGTGACACCGTATCAAAGACGTTCTTTAATAAATGTTTAGAAGGCAGCGATCCTCTCTTCGGCGATAGCTAGAGGGGTTGGCTGAAAGAAGCGAAGCAGGATAATATACTAAGCTGGTTCGCGGACTTTACTAAGAAGCTGGCGGCATTTATAGAGAGCTATAACTCCGCTCCGGTATATATACGTAGACTACTAGCGAAGCCCGATAAGCCAATTGACGGCTCTATCGTAAAACGGAAGATAGATATCGGCTTTATAGACGACCCTAGCGCTAGGAAAAGCTCCAGGTGCTACTAGACCTAGATTCTGGTGCCCGGCGAGCTGAAGAGTAACCTATCCGCCGATATATCTTCAGAAGCGCGCCTTGATCTTAGCAGGTACGCTAGGGAAGTGCTCGCCGCTTAGGATACCCGTCGCTTCGTCCTGGGCTTTACCCTCTGCGGATCTCTTATAAGGATATAGGTGTTTGACCGGCTCGGGGGTATCGCCTCGGAGCAATTCGATATTAACGAGGATAGGCTGCGGTTCGTGTCTATAATCCTCGGATTCTTCTAGATAAGCGAGGAAGAGCTTGGGTTCGACCCGACGATTATTATAGCAAAGGGCCAATGGTTTATCGAGATCTAGCAGGATAGTACGACTGAGCGGCTTATCCTCGACGGGCTAATGAAGCGTATACGATATATCGCTGGCCGAGCAATAACCTGCTGGAAAGCACACCGCGAAGAAGACCCGCGCGTCCTGTTTATTATCAAAGATTTATAGCAATACCCGGAGCGCAATAATAAGGGCGAGTTGCTCCGTGAAGCGACTAGTAAGGGTATAGTTCATATAGCCCGGCATTATCACTACGAAACTATTCGGGTACGGGATATAGATGACGACGTCCGAAACAATGTCCGGAAGGGGTTGGATACCACGAACGCTACGAACTACCGGCAGAATCGATCGCGATATACACCGAGCGTAAGCACAAGTATAGCAGGTCTATTATACGCCGGTCGAAGCAGCAGCGTCACTGGCGCGAAGCGGCCGTCTCACGAAACCGATGCTCCCTTGCCGCCCAACAAGCGATCTCATTCAGCCTCTCCGACTAAAACCAGCACCAACACACTGCCCAATAGAGTGCATCGGCGTATCATCCTTCGCGACTATAGAATCCCTATCTACGAGGCGGGCTCTCGAGAAACTCTCCTCGGCGCGCTAGCTGACTATATTGAAGGGCATGAGTCGTTGCGGCGCAAGGCCGGTTTACTTTATAGGGATATCTCTCTCAATAACCTCATAATCGATAAGGACAATCGCGGATTTTTGATTGATTTGGATCTCGCTATCGATAAGCAATATACCAGTACCTCGGGAGCAAAAGGAAAGACTGGCATATAGGCTTTCATAGCCGTTAGGGCACTTCAGGGCGAGCTATACTCATTTATATACGACCTTGAGTCATTCTTTTAGGTGCTGTTCTGGATATATATTTACTTCGACGGGCTAAAGAAGGACAGAGTCGTTCTACGGTTTAATAACTAGAACTACGTCGATACGGACAAACGTACAGAGGACCTGGCTAGGATAAAGCTCATCGTTATATCGAAGGAGGAGATATTTATAAAGACGACTACCAAATATTTCACGCAGTACTACCAGCCCCTTACGCCATTGATGAACAGCCTACAGAAGGTAGTCTTCTCTGGAGACAAGCTATAGAAACGTGAAGACGAGATGCTCTACTCTCGAATAAGAGAAATTCTTCGGAAGGAGCGGGAGGACTTGAAGTGATAGGCGTTCGGTGGATAGGATAGCGGCCGGTGTATAACTTGCTAGAGTAGGGTAGAATTGTGATAGGCTGGGCCTCGTTGGCAGCGAAGGGAAAGACTTGCGCAAAGGCGTTCATGGCCATTGGCGCGCTTCTTGGCGAGCAGCACTGGTTCATGCACAACACTCTGTCTAGAAGCCGTCACCTCCTCCCTCCCTATAGAAGGGCCGCCCTGAGACATGGACGAGTGGTCCAATGCTCCATAGCAAAGAAGTAATGACCGATTCATCGCAAAAGGCAATTATATTATGTGACAGTCTGTTGTATATTTGGAAGGGCAAGCTTCAGAGGCATTTTATAGGCGTACGATTTTATACCCGGTCTTTTGCTGTGAACGCCACGAGGCTCTCAAACCATGTGGAGAGGAACGTTGCTGCTCCAGCTATGGATCCGATCCGCCGGTCGGTCTCTCCTCCTAAGGCGCATTGGGACAGCTCGTGAGGTATGCCTGGGTTGGTCCTCGCTGTGTCTCGGCCGACCCCGGCCGTACCGTAGCCGATCCTCGTTGTGCTTCGGTCGATACTCGGCCTCTACAAACTCAATAGGCCAATCCCTTGAGGTGTTGCGAATCACCGAAGCCCTCCTCTCATCTGTGAAAGCACGGTCACTATAGGCTTCGATGATTAGCGCTAGAGTATAATAGCGAGGAGAGGGTCCATACCAACTACGATGCACTTGCCTGGTATAAGGACCTTATAGCTCAGGGCCTCCTCGAACGAGTAAGGCGCCTCGGCCTCGGCTATCGACTGTTTTCCTTTAGGATAGACAGCCGACTAATATAGTGCTTCTTAGAAGGGGGGATCCCTCGTTCGGGGCTTCGGGTAGATACACCAGACCAGCAATATCAACCCCTTAGGGTCGAGATTCTAGAGGGTCTTGAGCTGATCCGCGACCTATTGGTCCTGATCGTTGCGCTCCAGCCTCTACAGCAAATCAACCCGGCGCGTGGCGTCGCGGAAGACGGTCGTAGCCGCGGGGGGGGCCGCGAGGCCTACAGTCAGATCCTCGTCCTAGTTGGACTAGCCGCGGACGGAATCGTCGTAGGCTTTACGCGCCGCTAAGTGGAGTGCTATCGGGAGGACAGATACTATACCTATTCCTTTGGCTATAAGGATCACAGTCTCGTACCTATATAGCTGTAGGTCCTATCTATACGGGCCGTCTAGCAGCATCCGATCTCCTATTTCGATAGTCCGGAGCTGGTATAAGTACTGGCTCTGCCGATCCGCAAGGATATGGAAGTCGGTCGTCTTACCGGTGACGGTCTACTTCACATCGCTCTACAGTATTATGATAGGGCTGCTGCGCAGCAGGTTATAATTGAGATAGGAGCCGGGCAGATAGAGGTAGAAGTAGCTGCCTAGGAATGTAGCAACGGGTCGTTGCGTCCTGAGCCGGAGTCGGATGGCCTCTGAGTCGCTCTATATCTCCGTCACTATGGCTGACCACTAGCGTGTTACGACCCGATAGACGTGCGATAAAAGCCATAACCTATAGGCAATAAAGACGAGGATCTTATACAAGACGCTCTGCGTAAGCAGGATATGCTAGATCAGCCCTGCTATACCTGCGAGATAGAGGATGCGGTGTACACTGTGAAACACCGCTCCCGGTATGTATCTCAACTATGGCAAGGACAGTAAGAGGATAATAAGGAAGCTGCCTAGGGCGTCAGCTCAGGGACCTTGCAACGAGAAGAATAGCCTCATAATGCAGCCGGATACAGCGATCGGGCCGAAGCGTTGGCTCTGTCTCGCCTCATCTAGACGAATCGCAGTATAGACTAGGCCTTCGATAATTGCTATACGGCCGATCTAGTAGTATGCGATGTAGTACGCGGGGCGGGATACCCCGATGATATCGGCAATACGACTTGTGCGGCCCCCGAGCAGCAGCGGGATTAGGTTGATAGAAGCGGCTAGGGCGGCGCTGCTGGCGATCGTGGCTCCTTTGATAGTTTTTAGTGCCACGGCGACGCCATTGCCAGCGATATACGCCGCGAGGAGAAGAGTAAGAGAGCTAAGAGCTTCAAGATTGCTACCAGGACCACAGGGTCTCTTAGTGCCCACATCTTAGCACAGCTCGTCAAGCTGCCTAACGTCCAGTCAATCTACTGGCTAGTACGGGCATCATCTCGACAGGAAGCCGAATTTCGAATCCTCTCCACGCTTTCTGCAAAGAAGATTGATAAATTCACAGACCAGGAGAAATCAAAGCTTATTTGTCTTCCCTCGGACTTCAGCAGGGTCGATTTAGGTCTTGAGCCTGCGGTGCTTGATCGGCTCAAGTGCACGCTCACCACTGTTATTCACAGTGCCTAGGCAGTCAACTTCAATCTCGGGGTAAAGAGCTTTGAGTCCCATCATATCAAGGGAACCCACAATCTCCTGAACCTCTGCCTCAGCGTCCGGACCGTCCACCCCGCGAGCCTTTTCTTCTGCTTCTCGGCATCGACCGCGGCAGCACGCCGCTACCAGCTACTATTGCCGAGACCTACGTGCCGACTCCGTCTCATGTACAATATATTGGCTACGCGAGATCTAAGTACGTGACCGAAATATATCGTCAAGACTGCCGCTGAGAATACGGGGATAGTCGCCTAAGTATTGCGACTCGGTCAGATTGTTGCAGATACTAAGTACGGGATATAGAACGAGACCGAGGCTATATCGCTGATGATCTAGAGCGCGACGACCATTGGCGCTCTCCCGGCGCTGGACGAGGTAAGAAAAATCCATATAAATCACCACTTGCTATTACCTTACAGCTCTCTCCTACTTCCAACGCGAAGCAAAAGGACGGGTTTGGTTGAAATTCTTTGATAACACCGTTCACAAGAACTAACCGTTCTTCAGACACCCTCGTGGATCCCGGTTGACGAAGTTGTCCCGCAGCGGGAATAGGTCAACAGGCTACGCCACCATAGGGAACAAGACCCGCAGAAAAACCCGGCCATCAAACTCCTCGACTTCTTCACGGAGAAATATGACAACGATAAGCCCGGACGGTCCGGCCTCACGTACCTACTCCAGAGGACTAGCCTGGACAGCAAAGTGGTGAGGAATGGCTACGATGTGATCGGCAGTGGACTGATCAAAAAGACACTTGACTACTGGAAAACCGTATGGGATGCGCAAACTGTATGGAGGTTATGGCTGTTGGACAAAATTGAACTGTTTTTACACTTATATAGATTTATACTTTCTCCTTTCATGATGAGATACAAGGCAGCATTTTTCGATCCTGCTTACCTACGTTGAGAATCCTCACGTCCAATGCCACCGATTGGATCTATTTCTTTGTGTGCTCTATCGATATTTTGAGGGCTTCATGGACATATTTGTCGGCCTAAGCCTGGCTGATGATACGTACTCAGTATTCCATGCTTAGGTGCTGGCAAGGCTGTCCCCGCCAAACCGGTCAAGTATGTTTTGCCGGGCGGATGAGTGCGCTGCTGGTTTCCGTGCGCTGATTTGGTAGTAATAGCGCAAAGACGTTACCGCTGAAGAGCAGGTTGACGGATATCCAAGTAGCAAACCGACGGAGAAAGGGCGGAAGCTACTTACATGTGAAAGACCAGACAGAGTACTCGCAACGGAAAAGCAGCTGGGTCAAACTCGGAACCCCCAGCTCCCCGAATGGTGCTTCCCCAGCTTTGCGGAGGCGGAGAAGCACGCCTTGTGGAGGGCCACCACCAAACTCCGAACTTGGCGTCCAGGGGTGTACATAGTACTTATTCTCTTGCGCAAAGCTGCCCGGTACACCCTCAGTCTGGTTTCCAGCTAAAAACTGAGAAAAATGGAGCCAACTAGTCCTTCGTCGCACACTGCCGGAGATATCGAAAAGCCAACCTCTTCGGCCCCTGCGGTAATAGCTGTAGACTCTAAGCCAGAGGTTTTGTAGCTCGAGGAGGTGGACATCGAGAGCACGCATCCCACGAAGGCAAACTTTGCAGGAGAAGCCGGCGATGTCGCTCTCGCCCTGTTCCATGATGTCGAAGTACTGGATGGATCTGTCCATCCTGAAGAAGAGAAGAGGCTGGTCAGGAAGATTGACGGGCTGATTCTGCCGTACCCGCCGTAGTATTCTCGCAGACTGACAAGACGTCGCTGTCCTATGCCGCCGTTTTTGGGATTCAGCAGGATCTAGACCTCCAGGGAAACCAGTACAGCTGGCTGTCGTCCGTCTTTTACTTTGGCTTTCTCTTCTGGGCGCTGCCGACCAACCTGATGCTCCAGAAATTTCCGGTTGCCAAGTACCTTGGGATCAATATTTTTCTCTGGGGTGCTCTTCTTATCCTGCAGGCCGTTGCACCTAGTTTCGCAGCTCTCGCCGTACTTCGGGCCTTGGGTGGCGCTGCCGAAGCTTGCGCCGACCCAGCCTTCATCCTTATCACTAGGTAAGGTAGTCGTCTCTGTTACCTGGGCAATCGATTCCAGCTCCTCACTTAAGTAGCTACTGACTTAGACATATACAGTATATGGTATACGAGAAAGGAGCAACCCGTCAAAATTGGCCTGTGGTATACAGCTAATGGCATCGGCATCGCACTAGGCGGGTTGCTGGGCTACGGTATTGGCAGTATCCACGGCGCCCTGCCGTCGTGGAAATACGAGTTCATCATTATCGGGGCGCTCTGCAGCGCCTAGGGTATCGTCATCTTCCTCTTCTTGCCCGACAATCCGATCAATTCCAAGCGGTTGACCCAAAGAGAGAAAGTGCTCCTGGTAGCCCGGTTGCGATAGAATCTGACTGGAGTAGAGAATAAGCATATCAAGTGGCACCAGATCCTAGAGGCCTTCACGGATTACAAGCTTTACTGTTTCTTTACCGTCGTCTTGATATAGAGCATCGTCAATGCCGGAATCTCAAATTTCAGCACCCTGATCATCAAGGGCCTAAACTTCTCGTCGCGTAAGCATCAGTCACCCTATCATCACAGAACCGGTTACATTTGCCCCAACTAACCAGTCTTCCTACTAGTGATTACCTCCGTCCTCTAGGTTCCGTATGGCGTCTTTATCTTCCTCGTCATCCTCTTATACGCCTTCGTCAACGATAGACTGCCACCCAATAATCTATGCTTTATAATCGTCATATTTCTGATTCCCAATATTATCGGGGCTTTCGGGCTGCATTATATTCCTGACGATCAACGAATTGGACGACTTATCTGTTATGATATATATTTGTCTTCCTGATATATCTACTCTACTCTCACATGCGTCACTCACTCTCTGGTTCCCCACTTATTGGTTGACCGGATCAATTAACGCATCATTCGTCCTCCTCCTCTCTCTCCAAACGGCCAACACGGCCGGCCATACCAAGAAGCTGGTGACTTCGGCGTGCCTATTCGTAGGCTACTGCACAGGCAACATTGCCGGGCCGTTCTTCTACAGGGCGGATCAGGCACCGACGTACACTCTGGGCATATGGAGCATGGTCACTGTGCTTTTCATCGAGGTGGCTGTCGTCATCCTGCTTCGGTTTTTGCTGAAATGGGAGAACGACAGGAGAGACAAGCGGCAGAGCATCCCGGGAACAGCGGAGACGGATGCAACCACTGCCTTTGCGGACCTGACGGATCGGGAAACCCCGGGCTTCCGATATATCTACTAGAACAAGATCGCTGGCAAAGCTGTTGGGATCTCGAGACGGTACAGGCTGAACCTCAGGCTAATATCCCTACTTTACCTCACTCGCAACTGTCGTTGAAACGCATACCCTGAGAGAATTGCTTTGTTCCAAGTTCACCCCCATAGGCTGGATTTATCTTTCCCATACCGCCTCTCTCTTCCTTCCCGGTCCCCAAATAGCTACATAGGTACCTGCCTACCCTGAAGGGACCTAGCGTGTCACATCTTCCGCTTCTCTGCCGCCCCCTCCACAGACCCATCCACCTCCGTCTTCCCATCCGGCGCCAGATACCTCCCACACCCAGGCGGCGGCAAAAAGTCCTTCGGATGCCTGAGATACCACATTATCACATTAAACATCATTGCACCGGCCTCAAACAGAAAAAGGAATAACTCCTGCCACAGACTCTCTGGCTGCTCCGCCGCACTCCCGCTGCTGAGGACTAACAACGCATACGCATCCGCCCCCCCGAAGTGCGCGGCGCTGCGGTACAGCGTTCGCACCAGGATTAGCAGCATGGAGACATACAGGGTACGCAGCACAGCGCGCACCCGATTGTAGTACGGGACACGGACGCTTTGGACAACACGGTAGTGGAAGCGCGCAGCGAGCAGGTAAAAGAGTGTGATGGCGCTGAGTTGCAGAGCAAGGGAGGCGCGTGTGAGTTCCAAGCTGTGCGGGGCGTAGTAGGACGGGTTGGAGGGCGCGCGGAGGGTCAGGTAGACACGGATGGTCTCGACAACGGCGGTGAGCGTGCCGAGGACAGGAACCATGCGGTCCGGGTGGATCGGGGAGAGGTGGGGGACGTAGGAGAAGGTGCCGGCGAGGATGCAGCAGTTAGCTACAATGAGGATGGGACTGTGAATAGTCAGTCAGTCAGTCAGTCGAGGAGGGTTGCCTTGCAAGTCGGTCTGCGGAGTGCAGGTGGGAACTGAACGTACGCAGCCAAGTCGATCGGGAGAGTGCTCGCAAGGTAGGCATAGACGTTGTTGTAGCACAGGAGGTACCTGGCTACTTGACGGACCATATACCCTTGGAAGTAGAGGACGCAGCTCACGAAAAAGCAGCAGTTTACCCAAGACCAATTGAAGCGGCTGGAGCGTAGTGTCAGCGAAATGAAGCTACAAAAACGTTCGAACCTTAGAACTGACATGCATCGGTGAAGGTGGTATGCCCCTATCAATGCATAGTTCCCGGCATACATCATTGGTGTTGCAAACGAGGGCTGGTAGAACCACGCGCTGCCAGGCACTGTTTTCCGTCATTTGTATCATGCACCAACTTGGAACAAAGAGGCCGCAATACATACCAGATCCACCGTCGGACATCGTGAAAAAGAGAAGTGGGTCTTATGACGGGTGCTTGTAGATATAACCAGTAATGTAGCTGCAACTTAGGTGCCTAGTACCTGCCTAGGTATCGGCTAATTAAATTATTGTTTAGTGGAAGGCACTACAAGGGACCAAAAGCGATAGCTTCCTGAACGCGGGAAGCGCGAAAGTTGCAAGGTGGGAAGGTCCTTTGTGGTGACCAGGTACGATGAGAAGTCGCGGTCTCGGGCCCTCAGATGCGCATGCAGTGCGTGACCTATTTATATGGGACAGTTGACATGGCATCCTCTAGCCGACTCTGGTAATCCGAAGCGACGGCAACAGTCACAGTCTGTTCCGAATGTGGCGCTGCTAATGTTAATAATGGGCTGCTCGATAAGATGTGCACGCAAACCAGCCGTCACCACCTGGCAGATTGCAAGGGTCCTACTCCGATGGGAAAAGTCGCAGAAGAGAGACTTTGCTCACCGTTTTTGAGGAAGCAGGTGCACAGCCCCCCAAAACATTCAAAGCTTGTCCCCAAGAGTGCTTGAACCGGCTGGGCCAGCCCAGGAGATGCCCCAGTTTTGCCCCTTTTGGTCGCACTTTGACCCTTTTGTTAGGGCCGTTTTCTGACACGCCCCAACTGGACTGGTCGCTACCCCTCTTCGCGTTGTATCGAAGTGGAGAGTATGTCGCCAAATTGTCTCAAGTTGGTAAATACGAGCCAATTGTGCCAGATTTGGGGCCGGGACAGCCTGAGCTGAGCTGGGCTAGGCTGATTCGAATATGACTAGCCTGAGAGCTGCCATCAACCTAGAGTGGAGAAGATAGCTGCGTGGGCAGTGATGAGAGGGGCCATGTTGACTGAGCGTTGTATGGCATCAGCACTATAACTTCGTTCATCATTGATTCGACTTACCGCAATAACTGCGTGGCCTTTGCGTACGCCAACACATACTTGATGTCTTTTAGTACTAGATCCTACGGCTGCTTGTTGGCTTCTTGGTGCAACCAATAGTTAATGAACTTGGAGAGAAGAACCAGTTTGTGCTGGCTTGTAGGCTCTACCACTGCCAATTTTAGAGGTCGATGATGTTGCTGTTGTACAGTGGGTTCTCGCTATTGTGTAGACAAGGTTTGTAAAGATTTAAAGTAGCGACTAATCAGGTGCGTATAGAGGTTCCACTCAGCTAAGACGATGCATATCGCGTAGTAGCCAAAGCTCAAGATGCTGCGTTCGCCTACTATGAGACCAGGAGGTTGATGGCGGAAGTAGTGGAGGAGATTGCTGACCATCGACTTCTTGTCAGGTTGGTGGTCACCTGTGGTAGATCCGAAGAATGCAAAAGACGTTAAATGTTTAAAGTTCTCGAGGAAGCAGATAAAAGACAGGGGAGATGCCCCAAGCTGATCATGCCCTGTGGGCAGGGATGACCCGGATGTTTTGGCATTTCGTCACAGTGTGGCATTTGGCCAGGCCATGAAAACAACTAACAGACAGACTAGATTAGGTTTCCAAGTCCTTTTTGCTGCTGTGATCGCTAACTGCCATTGCGCCCCTACCCATTTTTTCTTCTTCTACCCCTGTTATCCTCAAGTGTATGAAATGGACTGATGGGCATAAAGTACGGACAGCACAACACAGGAGGGTTGCGGAAAAGCGCGTCAAAGCCATCACTGTCTCTATTTGATCTGTTTGATATCCAATGTCGTCGTGTCCAGGAAGATTATCTCACTTGGCCCGCTGGTCCAGGCAGCTCGCTGACTTTCCTTGCCAAATTCGGGAGACGCAGCAATGGCAAATACCCCGAGGCCAAACGTTGCCGACATTGGTTGATCAACTTCTCTCGGTCCTTGCTGCGTATCATAAGCAAATACAAACCTATGCCGGACGCAGGGCAAGAGTGTCCTTGGTGCGATGAGGTTTGTGTTAGCGTCAGGCCGCAGGATTTTAGCCTGGCACATGTGTGTGCATCCGTCCTTGAGCGACCCTACCTGCGACGCAAGGCCTTGAACACTCATCGCCCTGGTGCCACTAGCGCCAGCCTCGGACATAACCAAGGAGGCATTGCCATCCGCCCACCACCCAGACAGAGATGGTCCCTCAGCATGAAGGGACTCCATCCGACGGCACGGTCTCTCAAAGATGGAAAGACCGCCCTCTTGAGCCGAAATAGAGAACCCCGCATCAATGCACTCCACAGACCGCACATTGTTCACCGCCAAAGCTCCCGGACGCCAGGTAGGTTGTGCACCCGAAAATGCCACCCAGCCCACTCCTTACTCGGGGACACGAGCGTGGTCTCAACATCTAGCTCGACGTCCCACCACGGTCTCCACTTGCTGACCAACGCCGGCAGCCGCTCGTCTCCAAGTCTAAATGTCTCAAAACGGACGTCGTACGGTTCCCAAGCAACCTTCCACGACTCCCCGCCATCACGGCTCAGGCACATCGTGCTGTCGGGGGCGAGCTGCTCGAGAAGTGGGCCAGTCGGTACGCTGAAAGCAAAGGCGCAGGAGTAGGTGAACTTGCCGTACTTGGCTTCGCGGGCTTTGTGGTCGCGTTTGGTGCACTGCCCAGCGGACAGCAGGAAATGACGCTCTGGTGGGTTGCAGAGGATGTGGTGCGGCGGATGTAAGGGTGCCACGGTGGAAAGTGTGCTGCTGCGCAGGGAAAGGTTGGCGGCTAGGGGGTGGGGGAGTTCTGGCGCGGTCCAGAAGGGGTGGTGGTTTGGTAGATGGAGTACGATGAGGCTTTTTAGACACCAGTAGACGGACTGGGGGGAGTTGTAGTTTTCAGACATGTACATGTTGGGGTATGTGTAGCCGATGTTGTGCGTGCCGTCTGGGTTGAAGATGTCGGGATGCTTGGACCACCAGCGGAGGTGTCGTAGTAGCAGGCCCTTGATTACGCCGGGGTGACTGAGCGGTGGTGGGAGTGGTACGTCGGCGAAGGCGACAGCTGCCCAGAAGGCAGCAAAGGCGTAACGATATGTGAGGCTGCGTCCGAAGGGGATTGCGGCACCTGAAGCAGGTCAGATATTTCATAGATCAAATTGCATCCGTTCGCTTACCATTAGTGTCAAAATATCTCCAAAAGCCGCTGGCAAACTGGCTGGCTTGTGCCTTGTACCGTTCTGCCCTTTTGTCATCGAACCCATCCGACAGCCGAACATACAGCATCTGGGCAAATTGCAGAGCAAAACTCCCAGAGTAGTAGTCAGCCTGCTTCCGCTCGTCTCCCCACGGCCCATCGCTGGACCAACCCTTGCCAAGGTAGAACGAGTCCAAAAGCGCCAAATCCCGCTCGATCGGCTCGCGCACCTCTTCCATCGGCACGCCGAATGCCTTCACCAGCGCGAGATTTACAAACACACGAAACCAGCGCCAGTTGTTCTCGGGCATGTCCCGGCCGTTGACCTGTCGCAGCCACCCGGCCGGCCTGTCCCTCGCCAGGGGCTGTCGCGGCGCAAATTTTTCCGGCGCTATCAGCAATGCAAAGGAAATAGACTCCATCTCGACCATGCGCTGGTCAAAATCGCCGACATCGCACCAGTACTCGGGCGACGCGGGGTTGGTACCATTCACGAGCCCCTCCAGCCACGCTTGGAGTTCTAATCCGTGAACTTCAGCGTCTGCATTGGACTCCGTGCTCGTGCGGGACTCAGATTCCAGCAATAAGCTTGAGACTACCCATAGAGGGCGGGCAAAGCCCTCTAGCTGTGCGGCGGTCTCGCTGAAACCGGCGCCCGTGCCGGCTGCAAATCGGATGCGTGCTTTGCCGGGAGATCGGTACTGCCTGAGAGGCCTGAGGAGGGCGGCCACGGCCCGGACAAGATCGAAGCGGGTTTGGAAGCGGTTGTCAGAGAAACCTGGGAGGGGTGTCATGGCGGAGAAATGATGGCGTTGCTGAACGACAAGGATGTACGGGAGCCAGTTGGCTCATGTATTTTGAGTTGCAAAGTGAGGGAGGCAAACTGAACAAATCGAATGAGTTATGGGGGCCGGTGCTCGTCTGGCATTACTTGAGCTATGCTAAAACATGGTAAATGCATTTCAGAAACATGAATGAGTGACTCGAAGGGCCACGCCATAATAAAGTGAAATGTGAATGGTGAGCTGTCGGCCTCTGTTGCTGGGGACAGCCTGAGCAACAGGGTTCAGTTGGTGGTATTGTTGTTGTTGATGTCTAGCTATCTAGTAGAACACTCGGAAAAACCCTGCAGGTGGAAATGCAGGCCGGAGGTGGGGCTGCCTGGAGTGCTCGGACCAATAGGCCCACGCAACAAACCTGCATTCCATATGCAGGGTTTTCCCCAGTCTTCCACCGGAGAGATAGCTACACACAACGACGAACAACCAACTTGTTGCCAGCCTGCCCGCGCAACACAACTTCTGTCTTAAGAAACGGATATTAGAGCTGTATACCATTTGCGACCTTAGTCTCGTCGGATGGACAGTCTTGTATAATATGAGGGCGTAACGGTACAACGTACGGCTTAACTCGGCCCAGTAGTCGGTATTCTTAAGGGCGACGTCGCAACTCATCCGGTGGCGTCGCTGAGATCTTGCCCTTCGCTCAACCGGTTCAAATTACCGTGTATCTTACGTCACCGTAGAACGCGGTCGGTCTCGTTGACGACGCTAGCGCCGTTTGGCCGCTTCGTTGATCATCAGAACCTTCCGTAACGGTTGCGTCCGAGAAAAGGAAGAAGAGCGAACTTGGCGGCCCGTAGGCCGCTAATGCGCTGAGGCGGTCTCAGCGGACGGGCCTACCAAAGTGCAATCTGGGAATAGTTTCATCCAGGGGCTCAGGAGTCAAGTGGTCTGTCCTTGTACATGATCGGCCGAAGGCCACCAGCGCCCACCTCGGGACTAGCCCGTTACTGTTCATATCTGTTACTGTTAGTAACTGCAGTATTTAATCACTAGAATGACTATCTAGCTGCTGAAGTTAATCAAAGTTTTATTTCAGTATTCTTGGTTAATAGAGTAAATTTGGGGGTTGTTTTTTTGTAGGTATGTTCGGATGAACGCCTCTGCATGCGAGATGACTCTTCCCCCGAGTTTAAAGAGAAAACTTCCCCGAAGCAACAATAGCAAAGGATCTGAGTCGAAACACTAGACGCTGCCGTGGCAACGCTTAGATGGATAAAAAATGAGGCGTGGCCCGGCCAGTAATCTCTGAACGCTTCTGAGACCTGTCTCCTTTGATTTCACTCGTCCGAATTGGTACCCAGGGAGCAACTCCTAGCAGCAGCAATGTCCCAACAGACCATGCCCATTGCCAGCTCATTGCTCTCTGGTCCGCCCTCGTAGGACCGGCCCACGTCGCTCTCCCTTCCGCTGTTCCCCCCTCCGCTCGTCCCCTCTCCGCTCCTGCCCGTTGGCAGGGCCCGGCTCCGCTGCCGCCTTTGCCGCGCCCGTCCTCGCTGCCAGCAACGGCCTGCTGGGTAGGGCAACGACCTCTCCCCTTTCCCCCCAGCGCTGCGCAGGCTCCCCATCTTTGTCAGCTGACGATGACATCGACCGGCCCCAGCCCCGGCTTCCTGCCGCTGCTTCCTCTCTTCCCTGCCGGCATTCGCGCAGCAGCAGTAGGGATGGCCGACCTCCCTCAAGGCGCAAACCTGTTCACAGCGGTGCCAAGAAGAACGCGGCGCCCAAGAAAAAGACGCCGGACGAGCTGGGGCGCGAGAGAAGTCTCCAGACAGCAATGGGCCGAGGAGCATCGCCGCCGCCGCAACCTCGTCAACTGGATGCTTTCATCGCCGCACCCGGCCCACAGCGCCGGAGTCGCCTCGGTATTCGGGGCAACCTAAAGAGGAATACAAGGCGTAGATACTCGCCGTTTCCGCGACGCTGTTTGAGGCCTCTCACTTTCTGTACCCGGCCTCGGTTCCTGACGACTGTGTTGCTGGTGGTGGCGTGGCTGCGGTCGACAGGGGTGTTCAAGTTTCGGTCGTCGCGCGCGGGAGAGGGGGTGGTGGAGGAACACCAGGTGGTGGTGGAAGTGGTGCAGCCGGCGCAAACGCGGGGATCACAAGAAGAGCGGATATTAAAAGAGTTTCTGGAAACCTTGGTGATGCCAACATTGTCGGAACCGAGAATCTCACCGGACATGATGAAGGCGCCGGACATCGTGGAGGGTGTGGACTGGGCGGCAGCTCTGGAAGCGCTGGCACCACCATCTGAGCCTCCCCAGCCTCAGCCGACGCCGGAAGGGTAGCCCGACGACTGTCGAAGAAGCGCCTAAGACTGATGAGGCAGGGCGGCCTCGATCACGCGCAGTCTCAGCGCTGCCTCGGGCTCCAGCTACCCCCCCGGTGGCCCCCGAGGTTACTGCTGGCGGCGGCGGGCCGCAGACGGCTCAGTAACTGGAGGAGAAGTGAAGTAGCAGGCGCCGGATCAGGAGCAGCCGGCGCAGGGGGAGTACGCGGACGAGGCTGCCAAGGTGAAGTTGCTGCCGAGCAGCGAGTTTGACAAGTACTTCGACTAGGAGGATATTTTGCGCGCGCAGGAGAATCTTTCAGCGCAGATGGACCTCTATGACCAGTGTCTAGCTAGATATTATCAGCCTGAATACGTTGCGGGTGATACGATACACAAATGGATATCGGGTATTTTGCTGACCAGACAAGTCACTACGAAGGATTGCATGGTAAGACATGGAGGAGCGCTCACTGCAGGCAGCAGCAACTGAAGTCATCATCCCATGCCGTAGCCTCGGCTTCGTATTTCCAGCTTTCTTCGGTACCTTACCGTCAGGTTACGCAGTAACTCAGGGCTGCGTGCAGGTAAGGTAAAACACGTAAGCGTTAGTGGACGTGTTGGAGGAACCAAAACGGAAACCGGTTCCCGTTAGGGAACCTTGTCGCAACGGAAGGTAGATATACCGTCTCCCGCAACAGGATGGGCAGGCATGATCAGCTGCAATCAGGCACACTCAGCTGCAATCAGGCACACTCAGCTGCTTCCATAGACAACACACCCTCACGGTTGACGAGGACTATTCCAAGCATTCCGATACTTCCCCCGGATGCTCGTTGACACACGGTTCTATCCATTGGATTCCCTTCCGTCTGCCCATAAGTAGCATTTGCGGCAAAGAAAGCGTTCCGAATCATTCTTACGGAAGGGTGCGAGTGCCGGGGAGAGGCAAGAGGTGGTGAGGACTGCCAAAAAATGGCGGCATTTCGTCTGTGAAAATGCTGCATGCTAGAGGTGGAGCACCTGCGAGAGACTTATGTTGGCATCAACCCCTAATATCACCTAGGCTTCCATACCGTGGTTGGTGACAGGGGTTCATCGTTGGGTTGTTACCCAGGCCACTTCCAAAAGAAGCCTTGAAAGGAAACATGTAAGTGAAACCCGGAGCTGCTCTGCGCTGGGCGTAGTCTTGTCGGCACAAAGGGACTTGACCCCGGTCGCACTTCTCTTCCTTGGCGCGCTCTGCATGTACCTGCGTACTGGTTGGCTCAAAATTCATTGAGCCGACCTGGACCTGCCATATCCGGAAGCTCTTCTCTCTGTACTGTTGACGCACAATCCATTATTATAATGTATGCTAAATCAGTGTATTCCCGGAAAGCTGCGCTATGGCGTCGCGTATATTGGTAAGCTCGCAGGTGCATGGGGCATTTCGAACCGAGCCCATGCATTCTACACGCTTGGGTGGCGCAGTTGAACTGTTGGCCCTATCACAGTCGTATCGACCTCCCGGCCCGTGCCATATATGATTTAAGCGCCCAACCCCCGCGCCGCCACCCTGCGCGCTGAAGTAGTAATAAGCGGTGAACAAGGCTGTTGGTTATATGCAGCCCCTGCATATTGTCCTCTGAAGGCGGCGTAGTACAATATCTTCACGTCGTGCAGGCCCACCGAGGGACTGGCACTGCAGCAGATATTGTGCATGGTGGCACCTGCAACAAACAAGCCAAAGAATGGAACCCTATCAACCAACGGACAAGCAGCGGCTGTACTACGGTGAGCGGGAAGGGAAATGGACCACGTCTTCACACAGTCATCAGCTCCAGGTTAGCAGTTGGACCTCTTCTTAGCTTCTCCCAACCCAGCCTGCCATACTTGCCCAGGGACTATCCGGTATTTAAGGCCAGTGCTCGAACACTGCTTGACTTTATCGATTCTTCCTCACCAGACGCGAGGCTTCAGCAACTTTATTCTACTCCTTCCCAAACCCCTTTCTTTGACTCCGGCTGATCACACCCTGTCAAACCACAAGCAGACACCGCCATGGCACCCCAGAGCAAGACTTTGCTTGTAGTTGGCTCCGGCCCCGGCATTGGCCGCGCAGTTGCCACGCTGTTCGCGTCCAAGGGTTAAAACAGCGTCGTGCTCGTTGCTCGGCGGGCGGAGCAGCTGAAGGAAGAGCAAGCTGCCCTGGAGCAGGCGGTTGGCCAGCACGTCACCATTAAGACCTACGCCGTAGACGTCACCGACACCGACGCCCTCCTCAAAGCCCTAGCCGAAGCAGACGCAGCCATTGGCAAGCCCGAGTGCGTCTTCTTCAACGCAGCGCGGGTTCTGCCCTCGGTGCTCCTCGAGCACAGCGTCAAGGACATCGAGTACGACCTCAAGGTCTGTCTAACAGAAAGCCCCTCTTCATTTGGATGTAACAACAGACTTGTTGACCGCATCAATCCAGATCAACGTCTCAGCGCTGTACACAGTCGCGCAGCGGTATATCCCGCATCTGGTCCAGCTCGCCAACAAGGCGTCGGATGACAAGGCCGCGTCCAACCCCGCCCTCATCGTAATCAGCTCGATGCTGCCAATGGAGCCCATCCCACAGCTCTTTGTCCTGTCGCTGGCCAAAGCGGCCCAGCGCAACCTGGTGCAAAGTCTCAACATGACGTACGGCTCGCAGGGCGTCTTCGTCGGCGTCATCAACGTCGCTGGGCCTGTGGCGCCTACTGATGCCGTGGGGAACCCGGCTAACATTGCGGCCAAGACGTGGGAGTGGTTTGAGAAGGGCACCGACTTTGAGGTCGTGATCTAATGGGAGGGGAGGATATGTCCTCGTCGGATGTTCCATGTTCATGTGTGTTAGGGAGTTCTGGATTCGTTGTGCTGGCGGATGATGAATGAGCTCGGGTAGTTGAATTCACCACATGTCCATTTGACTTTGCATATGTCCATTCTGCCTTTGCCTTGTAGCGCCTGCTGCCAGCAGCATGGCATGTTGGAGGAGCTTCATGGCTGTGTTGATCAACTGGCCCCAATGGATCTTAGCCGTTATCTCTTGGGTAATTCTTGAAGGATATGCTGCCGTTAATCGAGTGTCTGCTGAACAAGCATTGACATGAACCCACGCGAAGCGTGAAGGTGTGAAAAGGGGTCGGGGTACTTTATCCCCGCCGTGTCTGTCCTAGTCCAAATTAGCACAGGTCCGAGGTAAGGTGGTAGGTACTACCTTAATTGCAGCAATATGTTTTTCTGCACTCATCTACGACAGTCTGGGTGCAACCGACAAAATACCCAGTTCAAGATATGTATCTGCTTCCGTAGTTATTCACGTAATCCTTCAATTGTCGCTTTTCGGTTGACAAATCACGTTGAATAAAAACGCGGGTGCAACTGTTGGCTGTGAAGTGCCCAGAACCATAATATCACTCGGTGATTGCCATGGCAAGGAGCACGCCATTTCCAAGTAAGCCTCTCACCTTCCTCCGGTGATGCCCAATGCAGCGATGGAGGTCATCTGCTAAGAATAGACAGACTTAGCACGGATTGGAGCGCAACGTCCTCAGGGAGGAGTTACCTCCCGGATCTAGGAACTCAATCATATCTAGGTTATTTCGCGATGACCCCCTTGTGGTTTTGCTGGCGCTCCTAACATGTTGTCCTAACATAACCGTGTTTGGTCTCACTTTTGTGGATGTATCGTTCCTATCAGTTACCTTTTGCGAGCTGACTCGCGTTTGTTTGGGAAACAGCAATATGACGATGGCTCTTGATGGCCCCTGATAAAAGCCGATACCTGCTTGAGATGGGAGACCCTGCTGATCTTGGTGTTGTAGTAGCTGGATTTTTACGCATGTCTCACGTATGCTTAGTTGCTCCGCAAAATGAACAAGCTTCTTCAGGAGAATTCTGACTCGATCATAGACGTCTCGGACATCGAGAGGTTGCGAAGCCAATCTTCAACATACACAGCAATTTCACGCCATGGAAATACGCCGCTGAAAGTGCCATCATTCGCTCTCTGTCTATTACCGTAGAGGACAGGGCGATGCTCAAGTACGTTTTGTAGGACAGTCGTCGCCGTAGCTACTTGCAGAGCCTCCGGTAGTGCAAGGTGACACTGCCAGAGTACCGAAAACAGAGCAATCGCGGATTGTCACTCAATCAAGCACGCCACCTCAAATTATAGTACGAATGCAGGCGTCTGCGGGAGCTTCTCGGTCTCTACTGGGTGAGGCGGCTGTGTGATCTGAGTTGAGCTGGCTTCAGCTAACGGTACCAATCAGTCTCCGTCTCCGTCCATCAAATTCCTGCGCCTAAACCTGGAGCTTCTACTCGTGGATCCCGGTGGTCAGTCGCATTCCTTTGATCCGATCTACGGCCTCCAAAGTCCTCTCATGCATTAGACCTCCCAGGCACTCCCGGGCATCGCAGTGCTGAGAGCAAAGTGGAGACACGCAAACTAGCAGCATGCCACGACACTATCCGTCATGGCTGTTTGCCTCGCTGGCCGCGTGTCCTTCAGTCAACGAGGTCCAGTGCGAGCTATTCGAGCCAAATGTGCCTGCAAGAGCAGTCGACAAGGGCCATAGGGACACGCTGATGCGTATCTATCTCCTTCGGCGAAGGCTCACCCGCAGCATATTGCCCTCCACGTAACGACTCCTGTCTAGAGTCCTGCCAAAACCGGCGCAAATAGATTCCCCCAATGGAGGCCATCGACAACTGGAACAGGCCGTGCCAGATGGTGGCGGAACGGATGGAAGGGGAACCAAACAACTAGAGGTACCAATGCTGAGATTGTGGGGAACGGAGGAGGGTTGAGCCGATGAGCCAGTTGAGCATCGCCGCTTTTTGCTCGATCGAGCCGCCCAAGCAGGGTGGGCTAGCGGCTAATGCGGCGCAGCCAAACAGCATTGTATGTGTAGGTGCGCAACCTTTTTGAGATGTAGGCTATTTGATTAAGTATGATTAGAAAGCAAGAGATGTCTCGCTCTGGTGCGAATAGAATACCCCTTAGCTCTTGCAATGCTAATACCATGCAATTAGTACTTAACGTTAAAGTAGTCTTGTACACCTCCAGCTGCTGATGGACCTTCTGTTTGTCGAACGACCTGAATGCCACTTGCTGGAGCTAGGGGCTAAGGCACAAGAGCTTGCTTAGCAAAGCAAATAATTATGTAGTTACCTAACGTATCTTATAAGCGAGCGACGCATTCCCCACCCAGACGCGTCTCCTCTACCTTTCCTACCAAATCCTGTCACAACAAGCAATGGGCAGCCCTTTAAAAGAAGCCAGGCTTCTTTTGGCCCTTAAAGCCATTCAAAACGATACAAAACTTAGTATTTGGGAGGCAGCTAGACTGTACAACATCCCAGAGGCAACCCTTCGCCATCGACGCGCTGGCCGGCATGCACGACGCGATTCTACGCCCAAATCGCGACAGCTTACCGATTCTGAAGAGAGGGCTATTGTTCAATATACCGTCGAGCTAGATACGCGAGGATTTCCACCTAGGTTGCGTGGTGTGGAAGATATGGCCAACCAACTGCTACGCATACGCGACGCGTCCCCTGTCGGTAAGCTCTGGGCACACAACTTCGTTAAACGCCAGCTAGCCCTCCGTACGCGTTAGTCGCGTCGATACGACTACTAGAGGGCCAAGTGCGAGGATCCAAAGGTCATTGGCGAGTGGTTTGCCCTTGTACGAAACGTCAAGGCCAAGTACGGCATTGTAGATGACGATATCTACAACTTCGACGAGACGGGGTTCATGATGGGCATCATCTGCGCGAGCATAGTAGTTACGACCTCGGATGGCTGTAGCAAGGCAAAGCTGGCTCAACCCGGCAACTGCGAATGGGCGACGGTTATCCAAGGCGTCAACGCACTCGGCTAGGCCATCCCTCCATTCATCGTCTTGGCCGCGCAATACCACCTCGCCAGCTGGTATACCGAGTGCAACCTCCCGGCCGATTGGCGTATCGCAACTACCGACAATGGCTGGACTACCAATGCCGTTAGCCTGGATTGGATCAAACACTTCGACTACCATACGGCGCCCCAGGCAAAGGGCACGTACCGGTTGTTGATCCTCGACGGCCACGAGAGCTACCACTCGACCAAATTCGAGCTCTATTGCCAGGAGAGTAAGATAATTACACTCTACATGCCTCCGCACTCTTCCCACCTCCTCCAGCCACTCGATGTCGGCTGCTTTAAGTCGCTGAAGACAGCGTATAGTCGCCAAATCGAGGACTTAATGCGGATGCATATTAACCATATCAGCAAGCTCGAGTTCCTCTGCGGCTTCCGCGAGGCCTTCTTTGCCTCGATAACGGAGAGGAATATCAAAGGTGGCTTTGCAGGTGCCGGCCTTGTGCTGTACGACCCAGAGAGGGTAATATCCAAGCTGGATATCAAGCTTAGTACGCCAACACCCCTGAGCTTGCGGGCCGGCACACTACAACCTTGGGTCTTCCGGACACCACACAACCCTCGAGAAGCGACCTCGCAATTAACGCTCATTAAGACTCGCATTGACAACCATCAAAACAGCTCCCCAACCTCGATGTTAGCTGCAGTGGACCAGCTTACCAAAAGTACAATAGCTGTAATGCACCAGGTAGCCCTCCTTCAGTTAGAGAACGCCTCTCTCTGTAAGGCCAACGAGGCACTTAGTAAGCGCCGGAGAGCCAAAAGAACATGCATACAGCTTGGAGGATCACTTGCAGTACGAGATGCCAAGGATCTAGTGGTCCAGGAAGCAGTAGGTGGAGAGGGAACGCAAGAGATGCAGCCGGATAGTGGTAGTGCAGGGGGGGTCGTACGAGGGTTCAGTCCTGTAGTATGTGCGGCAAGCCTGGCCATAATGCCTGTACGTGCCAGGAGGTTGCAGAAGGGTCTGATTCAGCTGTTTCTGATATAATAATAGTAGGTTCATAGTGTTGTTGTCTTGCAATGGAGGATAATTGTCAGAGTATAATGGAAAGTGCGTCGCTCGCTTATATGCGTCGCTCGCTTATATGCGTCGCTCGCTTATATGCGTCGCTCGCTTATAAGATACGTTATCCTATCTACTGAACTGCCAACTCGCACTGCGCTCCAATACTAAGCAAAACTGGGTATGGCGGGCATTCCAGCTCGGCAGGGTAGCTCAGCCAGGCAGTTTCGGCACGTTCGCTCAGCTAGGTAGCTCAGCAGGTTCAGCTCGGTAGCTCAGCAGCGGTAGCCCAGCAGCGGCACTGCAGCTTAGCTCAGCACAGAAGCGACAGGAAGCAGCCTCTTACCGCCCGCTGCGGAGCTACAGTGCCCCTGCTAAGCTGCAGTACCGCTGCCGAGCCACTGCTGCCGAGCAGCCGTTGTAGCTGAGCTGCTCTGCCGAACTACTAGAATTACTACACTGTGGCTGCTCTGCTAGACTCTATGCTGGGCTGCCACATCAAGATCCAAGCCCAGCTCCCTCAAACTCCCAAAACTTAGCTCCGAGATCCCCCGGAAGACTGTGTTTGTGATCTACTCTTCTCCTAAAAACGAACTCAAGAAGACAAAGAGTCTGATTTCCAGGGCATATATATGCTATTGGGGTTGCCGCAAACGCGAAGCGGGAACGTGAAGCAGCGACGTGAATAAGGAAACACGAACGAGGCCCAACGCAAGCTAGTTAAGCTACAGCGAAAACCCTTGCAGCAGCGAAAACCCATTGCGATAACGAAAACCCTTGCGACAGCGAAAACCCTTGCAACAGCGAAAACCCTTGCGATAGTGAAAAACCCTTGCGAAAACCCCTGCGACAGCGAAAACCCCTGCGACAGCGAAAACCCTTGCGATAGTAAAAAACCCTTGCGACAGCGAAAACCTAAGCGCCAGCGAAAACCTAAGCGCTAGCGAAAACCTAAACGCCAGCGAAAACCATTGCGATAGCGAAAACCCAAGCGCCAGCGAAATCCCAAGCGCTAGCGAAATCCCAAGCCCAAGTTAAGCTATAGAGAATATCCAAGCTCAGGCAAAGCTATAGCGAAAATCCAAGCCCAAGCCAAGCCATAGCAAATTCCAAGCCAAACCAAGCCAAGCCAAGCCACAGGGAAATCCAGGCCTCTATAAGATCACCCTACTATAAAGCCACAACAATATCGCCGCCACCGAAAAACGTGCCTGAGTTCCCAATACTCTCCAAGCTATCTATTTTCTTTTCGACGCGCGATATTCCAGATATCGTGTATATTTGCTGAACGATTCGATCTAATTACCTATTCTGCTTCCTCGGCAAGACGAGTATAAAAGCGGACGAATTGAGTAGGATGCCTCTAGAGAATTTTAGCCGCAACTAGCGCTAAAGTCCGGTTATCTATCTGTCTAAAGTCTCTACTAAAGTATAATTAGTATAGGAAAGAAAAGCTACTGCGATATATAGGAGACTATATATAACTGTCTCAGCTTTGTCCAAGTAGATAAGGAGAAATAGGGGTGATAGGCCTATAAGCGACTTTATACGTTTGCCGGTCCGCCGCTGTTCCACTATTATATCCCTCAACCCTCGCCTATCCGAAAGTCTCAGGGCGTTCTTGTATATATCAATAACAGTATTGATATCACGATCACCCCGCTCCTAGTAGACTTCTCTATTCTCTCTCTCAGCCCTTATAACGGGCTTAAGAGAATTATATAGCACTATTAGCCGAATGTAAGCTAGCTATTATAGTATATATATGCTTTGTTTTTTAGAGATAACACTATCTATAACGTGCATTATAAGCGAGCCGAATATATAAGCGAGTCGAACACTTCTTGGCACAACGCGTCTTCCCTCCACCTAAACATTAGTTTTTCTACAACTCAATATATCTTCTACTTCAAAGGAAGCCAGGGTAATTTTAGCCCTCAAAGCTCTTTAAAACGACAAGGAACTAAGCCCTCGAGGCGTAGCTAAGCTCTATAACGTGCCAGTTACGACCCTCTACGACCGGCGCGCTGGCCGACCTGCACGACGCGACACTACGCTCAACTCGCGCCGGCTCACCAATTCCGAAGAGAAGGCCCTTGTTCAGTATATAATTGAGCTATCTGAGCGAGCTTTTCCGCCGAGACTGCGTGGTGTAGAAGATATAGCCAACCAACTGCTACGCGTACGCGACGCGCCCCCTATCGGCAAGCTCTGGGCGTATAACTTTATCAAACGCCAGCTAGAGCTCCGGACGCGTTATACATATAGATACGACTACCAGAGAGCCAAGTGCGAGGATCCGAAGGTTATTGGCGAATAGTTTGCTCTTATACGGAATATTAAGGCCAAGTACGGCATTATAGATAATGATATCTATAACTTCGATAAGACTGAGTTTATAATAGGCATTATCTTCCTAGGTATAGTGGTTATAACCTTAGATGGCTATAGCAAGGCGAAGCTAGCCTAGCCTGGCAACCGCGAATGGGCGATGGTGATCTAAGGCGTCAATGCCCTTGGCTAGGCTATCCCTCCGTTTATCATCTTAGCGGCGCAGTACCACCTCGCCAACTAGTATCAAGAGTACAACCTCCTAGCCGACTAGCGTATCGCAACTACCGAGAATGGCTGGACTACCAATATGGTAGGCCTTGATTGGATCAAGCACTTCGACTACTATATAGCGCCTTAGACAAAGGGTAAATACTAGTTGTTGATCCTCGATGGCCACGAAAGCCACTACTCGACCGAGTTCGAGCTCTACTGCCAGCAGAACAATATTATCACGCTCTATATACCTCTATATTCCTCCCACCTCCTCTAGCTACTTGATATTAGCTACTTTGGGCCGTTGAAGTAGGCGTACAGTCGCTAGATCGAGGACTTAGTACGCGCGTATATCAACCATATAAGCAAGCTCGAGTTTCTTTATACCTTTCGCATGGCCTTCTTTGCCTCTATCACCAAGAGGAATATATAGGGCGGTTTTGTAGGGGCTGGCCTTATACTATACGATCTAGAGAGGGTACTTTCGAAGCTAGATATCAAGCTTCGTACACCAACACCCTATAATCATAGGTCTTCCAGACACCACACAACCCTCGAGAAGCTGAGTCACAGTCAACGCTTATTAAGACTCGCATTGCTAACTATCAAAATAGCTCCCCGACTTCAATATTGGCTGCTGTGGACCAGCTTACCAAGGGTACGATGGCTATAATGCACCAGGTGGCCCTCCTTTAGGCAGAGGTGTCTTCGCTCCGCAAGGCTAACGAGGCGCTAAGCAAGCGCCGGAGAGCCAAAAAAATACGTGTGCGGCTTGGAGGATCACTTACTGTACAGGAGGCACAGCAGGTGGTAAGCCAGGGGGCTATAGGTGGGGAGGCAATGCAAGAAACACAGCTGGATGGTAGTGGTGCTGGTGGGGGTCGTACGAAGGTTCGGTGCTATGGTGTGTGCGGCAAGCCTAGTCATAATGCCCGCACTTGCCAGGAGGTTGCAGAAGCCTCAGATTCAGCTATTTCTGATATAATTATTGTTAGTTCCTAGTGTTGTTGTTTTGTAATTGAGGATATTATTGGTAGTGTAGTGGAGAGTGTTCGACTCGCTTATATGTTCGGCTCGCTTATAATGCACGTTAAGCATATATAGTTCTATAACTATCCCGTCGTCCAGCTATAAGACCGAAACTCTAAGGTCCTCTCGATTAGCTATAGCAGTAGCCACGGCGTCGCTGCGGCCACCTAAGCGCTTCTTGCGTTTGAGGGTCTGAGAATACCGTAGTAGTGGGATAGGCAGCACCGGCTGGCCGCTATAAAGCGAGAAGGGCAGGGTCGATATACTTTAGAAAATCAGGATCTAGAGCTATACTTAAGCTTATATAGTTCTTCGTGAGATAGTATAGTTACTGCTTGTCGATAGCCGATACGCAGATAATTATATCCTTATATAGGTCGCTATCGGTATCGAATATCACAACGGGGGAGAGCTCCTTCTTACACGCCATATTGTGCTTGGCGGCCCTCTTGCGCTTAATAGGTAGAGCGGGGCACTCTCCGTCGCCGTTGCTCTCTATACGCCTAGCGGCTGCGGCGAGGCACTCCCTATCGCCGTCAACCTTCGTGCGCTTGGCGGCTAGTGCTATATACTCGCCTATATCGCCGTCCCTCCTACGCTTTCCTCCGGCAATATCTACCACCGACTGCCCTAGTAGGTGCTTTTCTAGGACAAGCTCCTTAAACTTATAGATGCCTTGTATTTCTCCTGCTGGCATTGTAGAAGCTAGGCGTACGGCGCTCTCTAATTGCTCTTCGAGCTTATCGCTATACCGGGTAGCAAAATATCTCTAGCGGCTAGGTCCTAAGATATAGATATATCCACAGAGAGTACACGGTGCTACGCGAGGAAGAGACTACTTATAGACGGCCTGAATATACGCCAGCTATTCCTAGATGCTTATCGGCTTGACGCCAACTTGGCCCTTACGAGTATAGGCATTAGGCGATAGCAACGCTCTTATAATACCAAGGAATCTCGGTCCGGTTTATATAGGCGAGGAGAGTACTTATAGACGCTATAGTTGCCTCGTATAGAAGGTAGGCCAATAGCGAGTCCTGGTAGCTAGCACCTCGATTGAATCTTAGTATATAGATTAGGCTATAGGTATACTCGAGGTAATTACACCACTATACTAGGCTATAGACAATAACCCCTTTTACTCTAGCTCGCCTATACCTAGAATAAGCGAAAGGATTATTAAATATACTATCTATAAGATAGATATCTTAAAAGTGCCATATAAGGCTAGTACAGTTTAGAAAGCTTTTAAAATAGGCGAAATAGCAGGATACTCCTTATAACTTAGAGGGTGCTGCTATCTCTAGAACCCGCTAACGAGCTATAGGTATAGTAGATAATAGGTATAGTAGCTGCGTATCGATATACTGCTCTATTACACTTATATTGTTCATTAGAAATTCGCCCTTATCCTATAGTCTATAGCGTGATAGATAGGCAGCTACTAGAGCCGCTATACCCGGCCCCCCCGCGTTAGGCGTTGAGGTCGGCTAAAGACCCTAGAGACGCAATCGGTCTGCTTCTTTGAAATAGGCCTGCCGGTCCGCTTCGAGCTATAGCCTTTTATAAATCTTGAGGGTATTGCTGATTTGGCCGCGAAGCCTGCTCTTCTTAAGCTTATCGGTTATATACTAGATCTGGTTACGGAGCGCGGTGATCTCCTTTTATTCTTAGAACTTCGCAATCTATATTTCTAATACCTTAATAGGAGCGCCCTCGTCCCGTATAAAGGTTATATTATAAAGGTCGTTGAAAAGTATCTTATCCTAGTATACTGCTTTTAGCCCAAATACTATTATAGCGAGATTAGCTCTTACGATAGCTATCTAGTAGTCATTTTTAAAAACAGGTCCTGAGTAGCCTATAATATAGTTCTAGAGGGCATTTGATAGGCTATCTATAAAAAGAAAGTGTCAATTGACTATCCAATATCTAATAGCAGTAAGTATCTAGGAGCAATATACTATCTATCCGGGCTCTAGTACTAATACGAAGAGAATAAGGGCAGATATCTTTCCAGCTGCCTATAATATAGAGGCACCGACGCCAAATCGCCTAGAAGTCTATATATTTCAGTGGGAAAATGTCACGAATTAAGCCAACAGGACAGCTGCAGGTGGGACAACCCGACGGGTGGCGCAGGGCGCACCCGAACCAATCATTTAGGACCAATGAGAAGGAGCTCTAAGGTGCTCTAGAGAGCAGACGAGAGCTTCAGGAGCTAAGCCAATCAACGCGAGGAAATGGAAGCTCTCGATGGAGTCAACAGAGCACCGAGCTCTAGGGAGCTCTATAGAGCACATGAGAGCACCCAAAGATAGCCAGTATATAGTCACTCGTTCTGGAGGACTCTGGGAGTTCTCCAGTGAGCAATACAAGCAATAGCCCACACCTATTGTGCAGACATTGCGACAAGCATTGTTGTGAACCCTTTGGCTTCACCGAGACCTACAGTCCGACCAGCAGTTACCTTCGACCGGCGAACCCTTTCAGAGGCAGGACTGCCTGTGGTTTCGTCACAGAAAAGAGGCTCGTTGAGGAATTTCTCCTTCTAGGGGATATCGATACGGTCGGTTTTACCAAGATATAGACGCTATAGAAGATCGCTAAGGGATTCGTAGCTTTTATCTAGATCTAAGGCATCTATCTATATCGCCTAGGCGATTATAAGGCTTGCTAAATCGAGGAGGGAAAACGGTACGAGAGTGGTAGAGTAGGCGACGCTATTAATAGGCGGTACTCGACGGCCAACTTGCCCCGGAAATCGACATCCGAGCTGGAGTGCCACAAGGATCACCACTATCACCAATCCTCTTTATACTATATATAGCCTCGCTATATAAAGTACTAAAGGAAAAGCACCCTCTGGTCAGCTTAGTGGGATTCGCAGACGACACCAACATCCTAGCCTTTGGAAGGGACCCCTATATCAACTGCCGGCAACTGGAACAAGCCTGGGCTACATGCCTACAGTGGGCTAGATCCTACGGAATGGAATTCAATGGGGCCAAGTCAGAGCTGATCTACTTCAACAAAGGCCGTAAACAGTGGTCTGAACCACTACGACTAGGCAAACCGGGCCACCCTCATGTCACGATTTGACCACATGCAGTGACCCGGTGGGGCGGACAAGGGTGTATCCGCAGCCAATCATTGTACACAGGGACATGCAAGAGCGCTCGCAGCGCTGATGAGCATATGTAAGAGCGCCCGCTCACCAGGTGAGCGGACGAGCAGAATCACCTAGGCTCACTGGTGAGCCATGGTGAGCGGACCAAAACCAGCTAGTATATAGTCATTCATTCTGGAGGACTCTGGGAGTTCTCCAGTGAGCAATACAAGCAGTAAGGTAGCCCTACATTACTGTGCAGACATTGCGACTTGCATTGTTGTGAACCTTTTGGCTTCACCGAGACCTACAGTCCGACCAGCAGTACCTTCGACCGGCGAACCCTTTCAGAGGCAGGACTGCCTGTGGTTTCGTCACACGTTGCTCACTCCCTTTGACTCTGTCACGGTTCAGATCGAAGGTACCATCAACCATCATGGCGCCTCAGACACCTAGCACCCCAGGATCTCAGGGCCAGACCGCGACCATGCAGCAGATGCAGCAGGTCATCGAAGCCCTCAACACGAGGATTGCCCAACTCGAGGCCCAGAAAGACAATACCACGGCTCTCGACACTCTTAACGCCAAAATCGCCCAGCTCGAGGCCGAAAACGGCAACATGCAGCAACTCGTCAACGAGGCCTACAACGGCAAGCCCAAGGACAAAGCCAAACTCGAAGCACCCCCCAAGTACGGAGGTGACAAGGAAGGACTCACTGGATTCCTTACATCCATGAGGGCCTACCTCAAGTACTACCCGGACAAATTTGCGGACGAATCCGCCAAAGTCATGTTCATCTCCTCACGGCTCGAGGGGAAGGCACTTCGATGGTTTGAACCCACTCTCAAGGATTGGCTAACCAACAGTGCGGACGCTCAGGACGATTTCACCATTGAAATTTTCAAATCGTACGACAAATTTGAGCAGGAAATCCAGAAGGTGTTCGGAGACCATGATGAGAAGCTCCACGCGCAGGAGCGACTCGCACGCCTAAGGCAGACAAAGTCGGCGGCTGCCTACGCCATGCAGTTCCGCCAGGATTCACTTCGGTGCGAGATCAATGACGAAGGTCTTATGCAGTTGTTCTACGATGGCTTGAAGGAAGAAGTCAAGGATGAACTGTACCAGAAAGACCGACCCGATACGCTTGACGAATATATCGCCATGGCTATCCGTATCGACGACCGGATTTACGCCAGACGCCAGCAACGCAAGGGACGCGGAACGCAGCCTACATTCGTCAAGGCCAATGACAAGAAAAAGCGACAATACCCCAGCACGTCGCATGGCACCCACGCTGGACCGATGGACGTGGACGCCACCCAGCGTGAAGAAAAGGGACGGAAGGACAAGTCCCAAGCCACCTGTTTCAACTGCGGCAAGAAAGGACACTTCAAGCGGGAGTGCCGCAGCAAGAAGAACTGGAAGCAGGTGCCCGGCAAGGAAAACGCCACGATCGACAAGTCAACCCGCGTGGTTGAAGTGGCTACGGCAAGCTACACCGAGGATGACTTCGACGACGCAGTCGACCGGGGCATGGCCGAAGGGAGCATCGACGACTCCTCCCGGTCAGGAAGCAACAGCCCCTACGTCACGTTCGAAGAACCCATCACAGGCTACGACATCGCTGCCGCCGCGGCATCGCAACTCGCAGAAGATTGGGGATTCCAGTTGACCCAGAACGAAGAAGGTCAATGGAGGACACGACAATCGGGCGACGAACCTGTTGGCCCGAACCCCATCTTTCTCGCCTAACGCCTCCAGGAGGTTGAGGAAGAACAAGCCGAGCTTCGAACGGTTACCCGAAGACTCGCGGAAGAAAAGGCTCAGGCTATGAGCCAGCTGGAATTCGTCAAGGCCAAGTTAGTCAGGGTCCAGGAGGAACACCACTCGAACTTATGGGATGGGCCGGCACAAGACCAAGGCCAGGATAGGAGGAATGGTGGAATCAAGAACCCCGAGGCTGAATACCAGAAGGCCCAGAACCAGCGAAGACTCAAGGGGCAGGAACCACAAGATTGGGACACTTTTTGGAAAAAGAAGCCGTACAACGGCGTCGGGGACAGCAACGCGGTACGCATCTGGATTGGATTTGGCCCGCGCTACGAACCCCATGAAGAAGACGCACTTCGACTCCAACCCCAGCGATACGACCACGTCTACGTCCCATGGTTCCAGTGCATCGCGCACGAATGCCGATACCATTTTCGATCGAAGTTCGACAACGACTTTTGGCCCGATAGGCCTACCGACCGAAACGGAGAACCCCGACCAGTTTCATGGATTTGGGACGCAGGAACCGGCGCCGACCAGTTCCTATGGAAGGTCGGAAGGACCAGTGCATGCAACAGAATCAGGGTGACACCGCGAAGAACTCAGCCAGAAGACTGCCAGAGATGGCCCAACAACACTCGGCAATGCAAAAGCCAGGATTGCTTAATCCATATGCAAGCAAAGCTCCAGGAACACCACGAACGCAAGACACGCACACGAAGGTGGATGACGCCTCGCGAACGGCGAGAGGAAGAAAAAAGAGCCAACGAAATTCGACAACTGTTCAATGAACTCCCGAGACTTGGACCGCAGG